TGAGTTTTGGTGTCGCACATGCGAACAAACGCAAGCACCGTCCGTTAGCGCCGCGTGTTCCACACTGCGCATGCGTGGAGGTCAAACTGCATCTTGGATTGGCACATAGGGATGACGTGCGGCATGGAGCACACGTTACTAACGCATGGTGATTGCGTTTGCTCCTATGCGCAGTACTGTAAAACAGATCGGCGCCAGATCACGTGGCCCCCTGTTGAGGCCGTGATTTGAGGGGGTTCAACGCTGCTCGTTTTTCTGACATCTTTTGCGACTGCTATTGCATGGGGAGAAAAGCTTATTCACATTTCGCATAAACCTTCTTTACATGGACGCCGCCAAGTTGAGTGTCATCACTTCCAGTGTGAGCGAAAACATTGTTTTGCTCTCGCCACGCCAGTAGACTGTCGGCCAGTTTAGTTTTGCCTCGCCTCTATTTTTCTACTGTTTGCATCTTGAATATATATATATATTTTTTTTTTGCTCATATTGGATATGTTTGCCAGGTGGCTGGGGGGACGAGATTAAACGAAAAAGGTGTCGAGTATTAATTTTTAGCTGCATTTGCTAAATGTTGCTCCGTCGCCTTCTTTAAATTGGAGGGGGAGGGGGGGCTGGGCTGTGAGTGGTTTCGATTTGTTCAGGGAAGAAAGGGTGTGCCAACGTTACCTGTCCGGACTTGCGTTTGGAACGTTATGGGTGGCGTGAATCGTATTAACTAGCGTCGAGTCCTCTCGTCCCGGGCTCGAGTCTTTGGCTTCGTCGACCGGACGCTGCTGGTTTGAACTCCCCACCAGGCTTTCTTGGAGTTGCACCGGATCCATGTTGGCAGTCTGTGCGCGGTTTGATCGATTAGATTAGGCCACGACATAGAATAAAATAGAATAGAATAGCGTTATTTTTTAAACGAGGAGGTTTTACAACGTACAAAAACGTGGCATTTTTGTTTGCATCATCGACACTGGTGAAAGTGCTGCTTTGCCTAAAGGAAGGTGAACTCCTTGGAATTCGGTACTTTCAAAGAAAGGCGCTTGGGGCGCTATACTGCGTGACCCCAGCCGAATCTACCATCCGGAGGAGCCAATCAAGCATCGCCAAAAGTGCACCGTCATGGCGCTTTTTGTGTTTTCTACCACCGACTGAATCAATCGGGCACAGCGAATGCAAGTGTTTTGGATCTCGAAAGATGACGATTTATCAGCGATAGCTTTACTTGCTAACATGGCTGTGCCTATAACTACCGTAAATTGTCTGTTATGTCTTCTTGCGTCAATTTGGACTCTTACCCCTTCACCCAACCAAACCTGCTCATCTGTTTTTTTTTTTTTTTTGTTTTTTTTTTGTAATTGATTTGGCGTTAGTCGACCCGGCGGCATTGTCAGCTTCAAGCATGTATTGCAACCGCAAAGATGATAATAACAGCGATGGAAGTGCTGCGCTATTGGCGCCAAATTGCGCCATGAAGTGAAGCTTGCTACATCTTGCGCCAGATTGCCTTTTCTTTCTTTTCTTTTTTTTTTTGCTAAAAATTGCGACACATCTGCGCCGAGATGGGCTTGCAAGGCAAAATAGGTTTTATTGTTGGTCGGCCTTAATATCTGGAGAAGTAGGGGGATCGGAAAATGGTACAAATATGTATTCTCACAGAGTCTCTACTCGCCGTACAATTGATTTTTTTTTTGTGTGTGTGCGTGTGGGGGGGGGGGGGGGGAAGGGGGGGTCAGACCACAGTTAAAGGCTCGAACACATACAGCCAAGAACACCCGTACTAAGAGCGCGAGTCGCGGCACATTCGCTGCACATGATTGGTTTAGTCGACGAGAAAACATCTTAAAGTAGTAGGATGGCGGCTGCTCTGCTAAGACAGAACCAGGGTCCTGTGCCCTTGGTGAGGTCACTCGATTATCATGTCGGCCGTATGCCTCCGTGCCGTCTCTCACCAGCGCGCGTTCGTCAGGCTTCACCGCTTTACACCGAACTGCTAGGAGCAGCATCTGACCTGAATAAGCGCGAGATGGACTCGGGAACTCGGCTTAGTACTATTACAGGCCTGCCTTCTTTGGCCTTGAATGTAAGCTTATCTCTGATTTAAGGAAAAAAAAAATCTCAAAGAAGCGGGAAAGAACGACGAGGTTTTGACGATTGTCGTGTGTGGCGTGTTTGAATCACGCAATCTCAAAGTACTTAAAAGAGAGCGTCTATATTTTTTTAATGTAATTTATATGCAAGTAGGTAAGACGACATTATAACTACTATGTATTATTCATCAATCCAATCTTTGTAAAAATCCCCAAACATGCCTCCGCGAACAACTGTGACCTAAACTGCGGATTTTTTTCATTGGACTATGTTTAGTATTTTTTTTTTATCATAATAACATGTGTAGAACCTTTCATTGCCTTCCACAATATGTAAAGTTTGTGTCTTAATCACGTATGAGTACTGAGAAATAAATTATGAAACAAAAAAAGTTTTAACTTTTTGCTCAATTTCAGCATTCTGTATAACAAAAGAATTTTTTTCGCGTTGCCTTTTTTTCACACTCTTCTTTTAGCCAGCATACATTCCGTTAGAGGTATATGCACTAGTTTTAAGCCTCTAAATATGCTTAAAAAAAGAGAAAATGCTGACGGTGAGTTTATAGGTTATAGCTGTATATTTTATTCTTTATTATAATAATCTAAGGGACGTTGAATAAATACTCATATAAAAGACATTAATGTCGTTAGGCGTGTAATAACAAGTTTGCAATTCCAAACGTCTAAACACTATAAAATCGCAACTGCCGAAAGCGGGTTTCCAGACAATTTCCGCCAGTGCCATGATTGGAGAGGCCCTATGCGCTACATAATCTATACTACGTTAGAAATATGGAAGTGTAATTCTGTAAAACATTAGAGTAAAATACACATCCTATTAGAAACCTAGATATTTAAATGCAAAATTTTATATTTTTAATGCGAAATTCATGTTGATAACAGAACAGAATAATTTTTTTTCGAATATTTAGAGGCTTAAAACTCACCTTCTCAGTTTCATCATTTATTTCTCAGTCCTCGTACGTGCTTAAGGCACAAGCTTTACATGATGTGGAAGGCAGTGAAAGGTTCTACTCATGGTACTATTAAAAAAAACAAAAAAACTCAACATAGTCGAGTAAAAAACAAATCCGCAGTTTAGGTCACAATTGTTCGCAGAGGAGAGAGAGAAAAATTGGTTTATTAGAAAGGTGAAGAGGTTATCCCGCGGGCATTGGCAAAATTTGATGGAACAGCGCGGATTTTTTTTTTTTTATCTGTGAATATAAAATAAACACCAACAGACACCGGATCAGATTATCCTTCTAGCTCTGACATCTGTGATCACTCAAAGAATAACGGCGCAGATACATTGAAAAAGCAATGAACACTTTATTTGGCAAATGTGTGCAACGGTAAAAGAAGCAAGAAAAAAAAAAAACTCAGAAGTACAAACAAGTCAGATATGAAGCCTCTGCCCAAAATCATGGAACTTCACCTTCTCTATATCAGGATTACCGTGATCTTATGATAGTACACACACACACATGTACTTTCCCAGGTTCTCCTCGTTGATCCGCACTCTTTCTTTCCTGTTATTATGACACGGAGCTTCGAGAATGCCCTCTCAACGCTGCCACTGGACACTGGCAAGCTGAGGAGATGAAGCGCTGCCTGAGCCAAAATTGGCCAATCAACCAATTGTGACCTCCAAAAGAGACACGGTGCGACGTTTTGAAGCACAATACGCCATGCAGAGCTTGCATCAAGTCAGTCTTCCTTACAACGAGTTTGAAAACAGGCTCGTACATGGCGAAGTCATGGGGCATTTCGGACTTCACGTTCCGATCGATGATGCGCACTTTAAGCACATTAAACCAAAACGTCGTGATGGCACCCGTGTATCCCATACGTTCGGACACGTTTCGATAGACATTGTCGTTCCACTTTTTCGCCACGGCTCTGCGTTATGACTGGAAGGTCAAAGTCAGCTTTTCCGGTTAAAACTAAATTTCAGAAAATGGATTCGACGTACTTTTATCGGTTTTTATTGGTTTAAATTGAAAATGTCGAACCTAAAAACTGTCTTTTCTCGGTTAAAACCCAAATTCCGAAAATGAATTCGGCGTACTTTTATCGGTTTTTATCGGTTTAAACCGAAAAATCCGAACCTTATATATATATCACACTAAAAAAAAATTATAGACGATCTCTTTTGAATACTTTGAGATTGAGTGATTAAAAAACGCCACACACGATAATCGTCAAAATCTCGTCGTTCTTTCCCGCTTCTTTGAGATTTTTTTTTCCTCAGAAACTAAACATGTCAGGACATCAAAATAAAAAGGATTGTTATTCTTGGAACATGCGCCACGAAATATAAAAATTTGAAGCAAAATAAAAATATACGACTGCACCTCGTTGCCTGAATCCAAATGAAACCGCCCACACACACACACACACACACACACACACACACACACATATATATATATATATATATATATATATATATCTTCCTGACGAAGGCCGGACTCCGGCCGAAACGTCGAAGATTAAATCGTCCGTTGTTGCTGTTTTTCACTAAGGGTTTTTTTCTTCTCAGTTTTATACCCACGCCTTCGGCCTCCCGCCACCATGCCCGTTATATATATATATATATATATATATATATATATATATATATATATATATATATATATATATATATATATATATTGTAGCGGTGCTGCGGCGGGGCGCGTGCTAGAGCCCACCGAGGACGACGACGAAGCGCGTGCAGACGGCGCGTGACACACTTCTAATTTGGTCTGATTTGGTTATGGACGTCCTTTTGTAAATTAAAAACGTAACAATATATATATATATATATATATATATATATATATATATATATATATATATATATATATATATATATATATATATATAATGTGGAGAATTAATAAATTGTGGCTTTAAGAAGCTATGACCCGTGTCTACCATCTATTCTGTAGTAATTACCTGCAAAAAAACAATAAATAATATTATATACTTCCGAACTGCAATAATATGGTTATTTTATATTTCTTCCCGTATCGAATGGCCACGAATAATATTTTCGTCGCACGTGCATCGATGCATTTTGGAGAGAAAAAACAACAGACACGGGAAGCAATTTAATCGTGCCCAGATTCAGGAAGCACGGAAAGTAGTCCTCGTTGCGGCAGCGGTTCATCAACAACGTATCGCTCGAAGGTACCTTTTGAAAACTGCCTTCTCGCTCCATCACTCCATCTTCGTCGGTCTGTTGCAGTGATGTCTCGGCGGTGGAGATGTGCACGCCGCTGGACGCTTCTTCCTGCACGAATAAAGAGGCTTCCGGCGCTTCCACTTCCGGTATGATGGCTTCCGGTTTTCTCAGGGGACGCTGGAAGCCTCGCCCGGTTCGGCTCTTCTCTGGAAAAGTTGGGCGCACCCCGCCTTTTAAACCCAGCACGTGGATGTTGCTCTACTCGCTACACGGTGCACTTAGAGTAACATTCACTGCTCTTTTGCAACTGTTTATCGCCGTGCGTCTAAGATGTTTACATAAATTTGATATAGCGCAGTTCAAAGGGAACCTCTAACTAAAGATCTGCTTGTCGTTATTTTGATTCAGTAAAATAGTTAATGTGAGCGTGTCGCTGATATCGGTAAGGGCGAAACAATTAACCGTCTCGCATTTACCGAAGACCTTCTAAATGCAGATCGCGTTAATAGGGCCTCTTGCTCCTCCTCTTGCGAACAGACCAAGGACGCCACTGATGTACACAGAGGCTTTTGTGAATATATAAAGCCGTCACATTGTCATGCCAGGGTGTCACGTGGCCTCGGGGTTATGGTGTCGGGTGACGTCTGCGCGTCGACGTAGTGCCGCCTGGATCGCTTCTAGAGAGCAGACTGCTTTCTTTAGTGCGGACGCCAAAGGTCTAAGTACAGACCGTTTAAATACTACGCATTTGGAATCTGACAGAAGAGTTCGGGGAATACTCTTTATGCGAGATAGTCATGTACAGGGAGTTCCCGAGAAAAGAAAACCGTGTTTTTAGGCCCGGGTGAATAAACTGCATCGCGGGAAGCTCAAACTCTGCCAGAAAGTGGCGCTAGCGGTTGGAATAGAACGCGAAAGAGTTAGAATATGACGTTACCTGGATCAAAAAATAATCGAGAAAAGCCTCTATAAGCTGTGGGCCGACGTCCACCGAAGCCGGAAATCGTAAAAACGAGAAACTGCATTGTATTCGCCTGTAGCAACTTCTGCTTTTCATTAATATAAATCCCACAAGCGTCCACAGCGTCAGTTCTTGCCAACGTTACTATAGCAACGTTGGCAAGAACTGACGCTGTGGACGCTTGTGGGATTTATATTAATGAAAAACAGAAGTTGCTACGGAGTGGTTCTATAGAACCACTCCGTTGGGAAACTGCCATAGAGCCTACTCTGATATAGTGGCGCCGATCCTTATCCCAGCACCGAGCTAATGGCGATCGCAACGCTGCCATTTCACCCGCAGCGGCCACTCCGTGAACTGCACGGCTGTACTTACTGGTTCCGTCGAGTCACGGAAAGGCCGGTGGCGCCATCTCGCAGGGCCATCTTGCAGTAGCCATATAAAGCAACTTTCATGTTTCAACTGGTCGCTAAAGGGTGGCGCTGTTATCGTATTTTGCTTGGTCTCGGTGAACGCCAACGGCCCTGGTTTCAGGGGCGAGCTTCCCAACTGAGTGTTTTAGTAACGTTGGTTCTCACTTTCACGATATTAGGCTTAGATGGGCTTTGGCTCATAGAGAAATGCATAGTTTATTCACCCGTGCAGAGAAACGCGGTTCCCTTTTCTGGGGGGGGTTAAAGGGCTACTCCACCGATTTTTTCATTGTCTCCGATTTGCTTGAAATTTTGCTAAACTAACCAACAAACGTCGCGAAAATAGTATCCCAAATATTAGATCAAAATATTGTTTTTTCGCGAAGTTATTGAATTTACAGTTTTGGTCCTCGCCGTGTTTTTCAAGCTCGAAGTCTCTACTGGCAACAATGAAAAAGTGACGTCAGTGGAAGGCAGGGGTTCACTCTTTGGGCTGTAGATTTTGTTTTAAACTGATTCGAAGCAGTTTCATAGTGTCAAATGAATGCTTGGGAAACTCGCTGCAGTACCCGCGCTCCAGCACGGAACAAATGATTGGCATATTCTATTTTTTGGCTGCTTGCTCGACTGGCAAGCCTGCCTGCCACTGACGTCACGGCCCTGAAAAGCGCGCGTATATTTGAATGTTGGTTTTTGCATCATTTTCATTTGCCGATTTCGCAATAACTATTATGAATTTCGCGATTCTAAATAGCATACGGGAGAGAGTAAAGGCCGGGGAGTCAGAAAATATAGTTAGTTGAGGTAGCTCAAAAAATCGGTGGAGTACCCCTTTAAGGCAAGCAAACTCTTGCGCTCGTTGCGCCGCCCCTCACTTCCGGGACGTCTGCGTGCGCCGACAGCGCGCTCGGCATTTTATGCATGCGTGACGGAGCAAACAATTGCAATATTCCTTTCGCGACTGATTTTTCTCGCGTGGGTTATGCATAAACTGGGGTAAGTGGTGGAATGGTTATCGCGCGATTATAGCTTAGAGCGACGCGAAGCTCGCTGCGTGAAAGTTTGCGATTGATTTCTGTTGTGGCGTGTTGCTTTGAATGTTCCAGGGAGCGAAAGATCGCCTATGCTCCCACCGCGGTAACCTCTTATGCGTTCGGATTTGCGGTTATTTGCTCTCTCAAAACTCGCGCGATGGAACTATTAGGCAGTTTTGGTAGATCGTTCCCGCACCTCCGATTGCAACATGATGCACGCGCAAAGGCACCGGTGGAGTACCGGGTATTGTTATTAGAGTCATATGAACAATCTACTAAAACTTGCTAATAAGAAAGTTCCCCTAATGAAATATTAGAGAGTTTTAGTAGATCGTGTTTTCAGGCAACGCTATGTGTAGCGGGAGCTCGCGCTGCCACTTCGATGCGTGCTCTGTAGCGTGCGCCCGTAGCGCTAGCGAGCCCTTGAATACGATCTACTAAAACTCTATTTATGCCAGCTATTTTTGCGAGCACACTGCTAGCGAAAAAACACTCCTGGTCCTTGGCCAACAGTTTCGCGGTTCCGCCAACCGTTTTTTGCTAGCAGAAGATCCAGAAATGGTGAGTGGTGCAACGATAGCTGGAGACGAAATGTCTCGTCCTCAAAGCTCCTTTATGCACAACGGAACAATCGATAAGATCCACACTCATACAGGAACTTAAAGTTTCAGATCGTGCGCTGCGGAGAGAGGGCCTGTTCAATGCATGCTTCGAAGTGACGTGACGAGCTCGCGCTAGCGAATCGAAGCTCGAGCGTACGATCTATGAAAACTCTCTATTAGCGAGTTTTGGTAGACCGTTTTTCCCCCTCAGCTAACCCTCCGCTACGAAGAAACCGCCACTGCGCCTGCGTGCCGAAAGGCCTTGGCTGTAGAGTTCCGACTATAGCGGAGGGGGAAACACAGTCGACAAAAAATCGCTATTGATCGTGATGGTACGCTGTTCCTGATACTGATGAACCTAAACCCTCGGGGCTTCGGGCCAGCACCCGGGTGGGATGGCGTCGAGAGAGATCCAGAGGAAACCTTTCAGCTTCGGTCCGAGCGCGGCCAATGTTATGAGCCGAAGGGCCAAACTAACAGCGAAAGAGGCACAACGTCATGGCGTGCTCTCTGCAGTTGATAGGACCAGCCGCTATTCGCCGTCTCTATGTGCGCGCTCCTCCGCCGGCTAGTCCTATCAAGCGCAGAGAGCACGCCATGACGTTGTGCCTCTTTCGCTGTTTGATTGGCCTTTTGGCTCATAACATTGGCCGCGCTCGGACCGAAGCTGAAACGAAGTATAAATGGCACGGTCTGCGCCTCTCTAACCCTCCCCCCCCCCCCTCTCTCCTAAACGTTATCACTATCTTCTTCCCTCTCCTCTAGCGCGCACACTTTTTTTAATCTTTTTTTATTGCTTTTTTCGAACTCGCACGACGTCGATAGCTTGCTCCGCTCCAAGAAAACACACACGCACACATACAAAAAAAAAACGCATTGTCATCGTGTACCTACTGCTTTCAATGCAGAGGGCAAATTCGTCTGCTTCTTGCACGGGGGTTGCGATGGTGTCAGAAGGCAAAGCTCTTATTGGCTGATTTAAAAAAAAAAAAAAAGAAAAAAAACAAAAAACATTGCGGGTAGTCTTCTAGGCATCTAGGATCGAAGTCTACTCACTCTCCTTTCAATCCAAGCCAATCCGAGCTCAGCATCGTTCTGACGTCACCGCAACTCCTGCGCAAGAAGCGGACGACTTGCCCTCCGATTGATTGAGCAGCAGAGAATATTCTCGAAGAAAGACGATGAAGGTTGTGCCGCTTCGCTTTTGGCGTTACTTGATTTGCGACAAGCACGCGTCTGGCGTCCACTGCGCTCTGACCATCGTGGGCATTCCTCCTTTCCCGTGCGTATCTTTTTGTCTTTATTTCTCGCCCTTCCGCACTCGCGCGTCGACGCTAGCGCCGCCTGGATCACTTCAAGATAGCAGGCGGGCATGTCGCCCCCTTTGCGGTTTTAAAGGAGCTGTGCAACAATTTGAGTGCTTTGCTTAAATAATTTGAGAGTTGGTGTCTCGACCTCTCTGAAGTTAAGAACAAAAAAACACTTGCCTACATGTCCTTGTTTTTATTTTAAAAATGGACAAAGATTGAGGTTTTCGGCACCTCTCAACTCGTTCACCATCTTCCGAGTCACGTGCGCTGTGACGTCAATGGGGTTTGCGCAGGGTTCTGGTGAAGCTCTCTCTAGAGTCATCAGTGAGCAGCGAGAACTCACCCGCTCGCGACCGCGTGACCACGTGCTTGGGCAGCGCGAACAACATGGCGAAAGGAGGAAAGTCTCCTCCGGCCATCCCCGTCCGGCTCTGCCCCCTCCCCTTCCGGCTTCTGGCGGCTCTCCGCGGTAGCAGATAGAGCAACGGTTTTGTTGACCTAGGATAGATGGCGCCACTAAACCTCCGTATAGTAGAAGCTTAGTCCATGATACCAGGTTTTTGACGCATTTATATTTATGTTGGAACGACAAGATTTATGGAAAAATTGCGTTTTATCGAGCAGGTGTTTGCACAAATTCTTATTTTTTTACGAGTCCCCCATTGACGTCATACCGCGTGGTTCTCATGGCCGCCGCTCGCGGCTTCAGGTCGGGAAATATTCTAACTTTTGCCTCGCGATTACGCAACGGAATCGCAACATTTCGAAGGAAGGAGATGCGTTTTCTGTCCTTTCTGACAAGATAAACAATGTAAAAAGTGGATGCTGCCAATTCTTTCAACGTTAAAATCGTTGCACAGCTCCTTTAACTACGTGCAGCCAATCAAATTGCGGGATGAGCCGATGAGAAATCCGAGGAACGAATCACGAGGTATGAAGCCTGAATATGATAACTATAGAGTTCCGTGTTTTTGGTATTTTTTTTTTTCAGATTCGGCGGTATTTATCGGTGTTTATTCTTTTCCCTTTGAATCGGTGGTTTTCGGTGTCTAATATCAATGCCGGAGAAAAATCGGTATTTGTCGGGCTTGTGTTGTATAAAGCGAGTGTATAATTACCGGAGAGAACATAATTGAAGATATAAATTATGACACTTTCTCCAGTAATGCTGGTAAAGATAAGAGAAAGGAACGGGGCCAGGGACGTGGTTTCAATAGACAGAAAAAATCCCAAGGACAGTTCTGTGTGGTTAGCGAGAGAAAAAGGAAAGAAAGTAGGGTCGAAGATTGTCTTCCTGTAAAACTAACGCTGCTTGTTTTTCTCTTTTTTTAGGGAAGTTAATTTTTTTTTTCGGTTTTCATCGAATCAGAGAAAACCGCCGCGAGGATTTATTTTCGGTGCTTATCGGTATATACCGAAAACATGGAACCCTAATAATAAGCCACGTTCTGTTTTTTTTTTGTTTTTTTTCATTCCCTCACGGGCCAATTCAACTTTGACGTCGCGCCACTACGGTGGCGCTGCTGTCGGCACTGCGCATGCGCAGATGCTTCATCTCGCCAGAATCGTGTTTCTGCGCGAACACGGGCTCGCTTGTAAATAGGGTGTGAGTACGTAGTGGTGTTGATCGAACTGGGAGCAGCGACACGAGTGGGTTCGTCCGTCGGTAATACCTGGTGTGCCGTTCGTCGTGGGCGAGGCGTGGGATGGGACTTGGAGCCCCAACTTGTGAGTCAGTCGCCCGGCGGGCCAAGACGCCACGCGACCGAACCCCGACCGGTCCGCGGCTCCGTTGCATGTTGACAATGTTGGAATCTGGGAGAAAGAAAAAAAGGCTGGAGGTACACTTAAGCACTTCTTATGAGTTGTGAATGCGAAAGCATGCACGTCATTCTTCCGCTCGCTTATTTCGTCTGCTGCGTATTTGCGTCGACGGCAGAGCGGTGCGCTCTGCCGGCCAGGAGAGGGCGCCTCTCCTCGCCGCTATGATTTTGGACAATTAAAACTTGTTGTTGGCCTAGTTGGTTCATGATGCAGTATAGAGGTTTTTTGCGCTTGTCCGTGTCTACTCGCTTGTAATTGTCCCCTGTGTCGCGCAAAAAAAACCTCTATACTGCATGATTTTGGACGTTTCGTGTTAGCGGCGCGCTGGCGGAGACGCAGCGCCATGGGGTGGCAGTCGTTGAAACTGACGCGCAGCGGCCAATGGGAGCCTCGTCGACGCGCGCCAGCCAATGGGACCGAAGCCAAATTCCATCAACTTTACTCCGCTACTTTGGGATCGGGGAATTTAGGTGACGTTGGCTAGCCTTTCGCGTGGTTTCATAGCTGGGAGCTGCCTTCACTTGTTTGGCGCAATTTCAAAGCTGATGACGTCGGCTCGCTCCATAAAACAATTAATGTTTTCGCATAAAAAAAGAAAAAGAACGTAGCCGACATAGGGTTTGAAAGAGCGTCACCGCTGGCACCCATTAGAGACATTGGTTTTAGGAAGTGGAAACGTGCAAGTTTTGAGTGGCGATTTATCAAATACATTTGATTGTCTACAACCGTCGGAGTTAATACGTGTTTGAGCATTGTCTGGTTTTACGTCACCAAGAAACTCTTTCTAGCGATTATTAGCGTACAAAACGAAATAAAAAAATGTCTCACACTTATTGCAGTATGGTGTCGCGTGCGAGCGGACGAAATAATGCGTCGTCTGCTCGCTGCGCTCGTTGGGATCTGGCGGCAAATTACAGCCATTGTTGACTCGGTCGTCTGCGAAGTGCTAAGACATTGGGCAGTTTATCCTGGCAAGTTCGTTGAACTATTTCTTCCCATGAAGGAAGCTGCACTTTGACACCAAGTAAACGCACGGTCAGTGGAAGTTTGAGATTTCTACAGAATGCGTCGAACCACTATTTAGGCGGAAAAAATGTTCCTACGAATAAACCAAGGAACGAAGTGCATTGAAACTGCACAAACGTGTCACGATGGTGCATTTATCGTACTGAAATTTCATGAGCAGGTTTTAGAAGACAAATTTAAGCCTAAAACATCCTGTCTATTTTTTTTCTATGCACAGGGGGCTAAAAACCATGTCATTGCCGCTGCGACCCACAGGGACTACAGTCTCCCACGTTGTGAAAGGCCCATTTTCGGAGGCAGTTCATGTGGCACAGATTCACCAAAGAGATTTTATTTTTAAAGAAAGAATAGAACAGTGGTATATCGATCATTTATGCCCCGCTCCGAGCAATCTGTACCTACCCAAACCGAATCCAGCACAATTTTTGCTGGAGACACACGCTGGGATATGCTGGATCTGCTTTGAGGATTCCGTGTTTATCGGAGTTTATTTCTCGAGAAATTCGGGTGGTGTTTTCCGGAGTTTATTTTTCGTCGAATATTTCGGGCTTTTTGAATATTATTTTTGCTGAAACTTTGGGGTTTATCGCAACTTATTTGTGTTAGGTTCCCAATTCTTTGAAATTCGGAGTTTAGTTTACTGTGTTCATATATTTTAAAAATTCAAAAAGAAAATAAAGTCTGACTACCATGATCCACCTCGACGCGCTAACTTTTTGTCAACAGTTCTAGATTTTAAAAGGAAACTGAAGCAGCATCTCCTCAGGACCACTGACCCTGTGCTCTTACCGCTCATTCACACTGGAAGCGGATCCGCGTTCGCAAAGCGGTTGCGAACGCGGTTGTATAAAGATCCAGTACAAATGCACGCGCACTTGATGTCATCGAGTGCGCGTGCAATTGCACTGGGTCTTTATACAACCGCGTTCGCAACCGCTTCGCGAACGCGGATCCGCTTCCAGTGTGAATGAGCGGTTACAGAGTGTATTTGCAAAACACCGTCGTTTTTGCTTTTTATTTTGTCGTTGTGACTTCTAAGCGCGGATTTTGTTTTCCGGATTTATCCCAATACACAAAACCCTAATTATGTTGTACCATCTCTAAGTATGTTTGTGTATGCGCTGATTTTTCAGGCTTCTTTTATAGCGCAAAGTTGCATTGTATATTTCGCGACGCACTTTATTCCCCCAAAAAATAAAGAAAAGAATTACAGGCTTTTGGAGTAATTCGGCTAAGTTAGTCGTGCTTAGTGTCAGTCAGACAAGATGGCGTCGGTACAAGCGGGACAGTGGGGCTCACCGAGACGTGGCTTGTCTGGCACAGCGCTCTCCGCCCGACGGCGTATTCCTGGTACTGGGACAGCACGCACAGGATGCTGTACACCTGGTCGAAGCAAGCAAACAACACGCTGGCACAGGTCTGGGTACGGTACCGAACAAAAGAAAGGAGCTCTGTCTGAGTAGCTCTGTCTCTGTTCCTTTTTTTTTTTGATGGTTCACTTTACGGTGAAAAGCTAAATGTTTGTGTGTGCGTGTGTGCGTCCGTGTGCCTGCTTCCCTGTGTTTGTGTGTACCGAAATAGCCAGATGGCACTATTTCTTCGCGCGCAGATTTTTCCGTCTGAAACAACTGACATTTATTCGACTTCGGATGTATATTAAGTAGCCTAAACTCATCTCGATTCTAGGTTTTCTCGGTACCTACTTTTATTACGACTGGTTATGACAATTGACTATTCTCATTAACAATTTGTTGCGGTTCTGTCTGCAACAGAAACGCACGACTGTGATTAAAGCGGCAAAATTATAATGACTTTTTTATATAAAATAAGAATGATATTAAAAATACACCTTACATTTTATCGGAATGAATGCCGAATGATTTGATGAACAATTCTCCACAAATCGTTCCGCACTCATTTCCTTCCATATCTCCATCCGTGCAGACGGCGTGGAGTGCACAAAATGTAGCTATTCAGTGATGGACTCGTACTACAAGTTTTACAATCTCTAACCATGGGCGTGCCAACCGGGGGGGGGGGGGGGGGGGGGGAAGGAAGGAAAGGGGGGAGGGGGGGCAAGGGGGCGCTTTTCCTGCTCAGTTTTCAGAGTGGGGGGGGCAAGACGTGTTTTGCCCCCCCCCCCCCCCGCCCCGTGAAACAGTCGCCACTGGGCAGGGGAAACAATCCGGCGGCGCCCAAGGGATACCAAAGGCACCGCTTCCCGGCACTGAGGGGGAGGGGGGGGGGGGGTTCTGGTTTGCTCTCCCACTCAAAAAGAAGTTGGTACGCCTCTGCTAAAAAGGACGGAGGCTAAAGCACGAAGCTGTCGTGTGAGGTTTCTAAAGTAAGTACTGAAACACGTGAGTACATTTTGATGTTTTAAATGTTCCGTAAAAAGCTGACATACTCAATCACCTCGCAGCCTACGTTGTGAGCAAGAAATATGTCGCGTAGAAAATGTACCAAATGTAGGACGTTTAAAGCAAAACTAAAACGGTTCTGTATTTGAGGAGAGAAAAAAAAAAAGACGCTTAAGTTGTCTTTATTTGCCCTCCTTCAGATTGATGCGCCAAGTAGGTACTACAACAGCGCTTTCAATATAGACGCTTTGCAGCTGCTGTGCATGGGCGCGCCATAACTGACCTTCAGTTTTTGTTTCCCCTTCTCACGTTTACTTCCCTTCATTATTACCATAGCAGGCTACGTCATTGCCATCCTAGATTTTATTCTGTCTTTCTCCCCAGCATTGGCCGTTGTGGAGGCTCGTCCACACCGATTTCAGTGGCTCGGTATCTCGGTAAAACAAGAGAAGGTCAGCAATGGCGGCTGTATTCTGGCGCGTGTGCAAAGCGTCTATAGCACTGGAGCAATCCCCCCCCCCCCCCCCCCCCCCCCCCACCACCACCCTTCCACACACCCCTTCTCCCGTCACGTCCTGTGCGAGAAGGAAATCATGCATTTCCGTGCTTTTCGCCGAGCAGTCACACGTGTCACGCCGAGCAGTCACACGTGTCACGCGCAAGGTAGCTGAAACATCTGGGTATGACATCACGCCCGGTGGTTGGCTTTTCGGTTTTTCTCACGTGTGTTGGTGGCGTGCGCGAACTACAGAGGACGCTTCTCTAGCTATCGTCAGCATCATCGTTCGTGACGTCACGGGTAGGACAGTCTGGGACAGACCGCGCAGATCTTGGATCCCTCGGCTGATCGGATCGCTTCATGCGCTGTTCGGGTGGTGCACGGCAAGGCCTGTTTCACCCGTTCCGTTTATTTGCTGAAGTGATATTTGTATTAAGACATTTTACTAAAGTTTAAAACCGCACGTGGAACGCGGGTAGTCGTGCCAACAAACACTTTCGGCGCTGAGGTGTCGAAGTTCTCGGATCGCGGTGTGCTGTTCTCTACCCCAGTACAAAGAGCTGGACGATGAAAATAGAATATCCAGCACTTTACCCCCTACAGCATCGACCACGGGGAATAGGATGTATTTTTTATTATGATTCGGACAAAATAAAACTTAGAAAAAAAAAGTTTCATCCAATAGAAAATAGGAAAGCGAATTTTGAGAACCCCTTGCATGTGTACTAAACACTTCGGTGAAAGCGACTACCTGTATCCTGTTGATTTTATTGTGTTCTGTGAGTGCTGGTCCCTCGTCAGTTCCGAATCTATTCCTTTTTGAATTTTGAAAACCAGTAAACGAACATTTCCTCAAAATAACTGGCAGGAAGAAGCGGTGTCTGGCTTCCGGAGTCGTTTCAACTAAATCTCTGCTTATCCACCCGGTGGACGCGAAACGTGCGAGACACTCTCGCGATCGAAGTCTTCAATCTAGTAAGTCGGTGACACTTCAGGGTCCCAGAAAATGAGAAATACACCTGCTATAAATTACTACCGTTTGTATGTTTAATATTGCGGACCCAAATGAGCATAATACATGATGCACTTCTTAGCGAGCGATTTTAAATTTGTAAACAGTTTTTGGGAAAATAATAAAATAGAACAAACAATAAATCGCCCGAATTTACCGGGCCTTAGCCGATAATTTAAGAAATCAGGAAAATTTCTTCTTTTCTCTCGAGCAGAAGTCCTGATGTGACAAACTTTTTTACCACGTATTAGATTCGGGAGGAGCGAAGCGTCATTTGCAGACGAGCATCTGCTCGGCAGCAACTGTCGAGTCACACGTGCATAGAACTGTAGGTGTCGGCAAGCTCAATGTAGCTAAAACAAGTGTGCGGCGTTTTGCAACACAACTGTGCACGCGTGCACAGTTAAAGGGATACTGAATCGAAATTTGAATTTCGCAAAATAAGGCTCTAGAAGCGTTGAACGGGACTCTACGAACTCCGAAACATTGCTCGTACATCGATATCTCAAACGGATGGCCGCACTTTTCGAAAAGAAGGGCGCGATCAAGCGAGGCCTCTGACATCACTGTCCTCCGGGAGAATTTGAGAATGAGGGGGAGCGGCCTCGCTTCTCTCCTCCTCGCTTCGGTTCACCAGCTTGACACGGGACGTAGTGAGGAGGAGAGGGAATAAGAATCGTGACGTGCCTTGCCTTGTCGGCCTCGTCGGCCGGGTTTAGTCGGGCGCTTCTTTTCTAAAAATACGGCGATCCGTTAGAGATATCGCTGTATGAGTGATGTTTTGGGGTTTTGCATCGTCCCGCCTATCTGTCCATCCTTGTTTTGTAAGTTCGAAATTTCGGTTCAGTATCCCTTTAAAGGGATACTTCAACGAAATTTGAAATATTCCCGTCGTGTTCAAAAATAGGTTGAATATGATCCACAATATCCGTAAATGACAATCGCACGTTTGTATTTTGATCCTGGTGGCTGTATTTTTCGTTATAAACGGCCCACTCTGGCAAGCGCTCGGAGAAGGCCCAGCTTAGAGCACGTGACATCCAACGCAATCGTGACGTAGGTCGTCTCAAGACGAGCAAAGCTACGGCGAGGCTGACGTCGAGAGGATGGCCTAGTCGTTCCAGCCACCGAAGCGGCTGCTTTTGTATGATTTTTGAGTGACGGGTTAATCTGCTATAATCTTCTAGGGGGACAATAGCGACTTCTGCGACACACAAAAGGGATTCTCGGGAAGAGGGGGGTTCCTCCTTCCCCCCTTCTCTCGTCGTGGCCGGAGACGAGACAACCTCCGTCACTAGCTGTCAAGGTTCCTAGACGAGCATTACAAACGAGGCGTTAGCGACATCCACCAGGTGCTCTTTGCTAATCGTTTAATTCGTTTTAAAATTCCTTTTCGAGGCTTTTTTAACAAGATATTGGTATGTTCCATGTGATACTGCTCTTTTGAACACACATAGACCAGAAAATGAGTGCCAAAATTTCGTTGTAGTATCCCTTTAAGAAGACAGCACGTCATTTACTCTGGTGAATACAAAACCCTTTTTTACAGCAGCCTCCACAGGTCTAAAAAAAATAAAAAAAAAATAAAAAAAAGGAAGGTTGTGAATAGCCCTGACGCGCGCCGCGCAAGCTGTAATGCTAAGCTCGAGGCTTTTTCTTTTTTACACATTTAAAGTTTTTTTTTAAGACGAAAATCCACTTCGAGGTGCTGTTATTTATTAGGAAGACCACCCACGAAAACGTTATGCGTGTTTCTTTAATAAATACACCGTTTTTAGTCGGCGTAAATGCAAACTAACATAGCCCCTCCGTGCCTACTAGCTGCGTCACAGGAGGGTACCTGTGAGGTACGTGACACCACCAAAACAGTTCGTCGCCAATAGACACGTTCGGGTCAAATGCTTGCGATACTGAAATTCGCAGGACAAAAATATTCTAGAATTCAACTCTAACTAGTTTTTTTTTTTTTTGTTTTTTTTTTTACAGGGAAGCTCCGGCGCAATCTTTATGATTGTTGATTTTCCACAAAAGTGGTTCAACAGATCAATAGACATAGCCGAACCAGTGACCCAAATTATATATATATTGTTATTAAATTATTTGGTCATCACCGTTAATTGTTTTGTTTTTCTTAGCTGAAAGGCTTTACTGCCAGCGCTGAACGCGTGACAACAAACGTAGTGATTTGGCAGCACAGCACTGTCACAAGAAGTGTGATCGTGTGAAATGGGAAAGCTCACTTTACCCGAACAAAACAAATACGCGACATATACTGCGTCGACATGCAAGTTCTTACAACACGTGACGCCGTGAAGCTCGGGAAGTTTGAACGAACTTTCGCCCTCACTTGCACTCGCCATTTTCTCCCAAATTATTCCCAATATATAGATAATAAGTAGCGTGCGAAAAAGAGTACATCCCGCGTGTTTCGGAGAAGTAGGTAGTTAGTTCGAATAGCCCGGTGAACAGCTTTGAAGCGTTGTTGACCAGTCAGCATATATGTATACGCAGA